AAGGAAATACACGAGTTTCTAAAAGGTTTGGATAGGACGTTTCTTGCCTGGTTAAGAAACAATATAACATTGCTTGATAGTTCATTATCCTATAAACAGAAGGTCAATTTAAAGTAAATGAAATAATTCCATCACTGAGAGTATTCTACGTCCCCAATGAACAGACTATTTGTTTACGTACATCGTGTGTATTCCTCATGATGTCACCTCGATTTTCGTGACTATTAAGTAAACGAACCAAATCAGGCACCTCCTTTTCCCAGAGGCCCAGTCTGGAAGGCAACGTGTCCTTCTTTTCCCTTAGTAAGTGCGAGACATATTTCAGACCAGTGTGCAAGCCATGGAAAGATGATTTATTGACTTAAAAATCAGAATGTCCGAGACGACGCAATTATCGTTTCTCAATGTGTGCTTTTGGAATTCGCAGTGTCATCTGTGAAATTGTTCACGTTCAGTACCGTTCTAAAAATTGTTTAGGAAATGGAGAGAACTTTTGAGATTGTGGAGGCACTTTATTGACGATGCAGCCAGAAGGCAGCTTCATTTTCGAAGAAATTGAGCTTTAATGATATATATTCTAAATTTGTCGAAAATGTATCGATGACTTCAGATTACCGCAAGTAATGTTGGTTAACTGGCCCTTATTGTTAGTATTCATCTACAAAAAATACCTTACTCAATTACAGAGGCCTTTGTAAAAGTTGGTAAGCAGCTTTGTCATCATTTTCATCAAAGACTAGGCAATAGAAATGGACATTTGTGTTAATAATAAGTTGGTTTATTGACAACGCAAGGTTCCTTCTCTCAGTAATGCTAAGACTGCATCTTTTGTCATTAATTCTGAAGCGAGATCCAGATGAGTAGATCACCATGTAATAATAGAACAGTTACGGGCATCAACTCAGATTAAGGTTGTCAAACCAACCCCATTAGGCTCTCGATGTTTGTCCGTTTCTGCAGGGACTTTTTGGTGCTGATTCTTTCCCACGCACCGCATGGACAAGTTGGAGAGAGCACACAGGGGTGCCTCTGTTTGGCGTGATTTATTGGTCTGTGGTACTGGACGCGACCAAACTTCTAATGTCAAACACGTTTGTGATGAGCAGTAGTGAGAACGGGACTACTTGAGTAGCTCCCGCAAAGTTAGATTTTGAATTCCATTACATCTCTTTAAAGTGATTTTCATTCTTGCTGGTTGCGCTTTTTTCGTAGTGGTGAAATGACACCTATTCCGACAGGAGAATTTAAGTCTTTTTAAAATTTATATTTTGCTATTATTTAGCGTTTTAAACTCCGATAAATTTGACAATGCCTTTCAAGGAGGGACTTTTTTTACAGACATCCTTGAATGGCTGAGTGGTCAAAGAGTGCGAAGTCGGAGGGACGCTTAGCGTTAGTATTATTGCAGTTTTGAGGCAGAACTCTGAATTCGCAATTTCGTGAACTGTGACAAATATTTAGTAGACAATAATTCTGCTCCCAATTTACTATCTTGTACCTTGCAATCGAAATTAGTTGCGTGTGACAAACTCAAGCGGAAATATTGTGGTCAAAGTGAGGAGTATTGGCACAAACGATTTAAGGTGCCACTTAGCAATAAAGAGGCCATACTGTTCATCTAGTGGAATTTAGGTTGTGGGATGCAACATGAACTTTTGCCATTAATCCATGCAGCAGAATCTTCAAGTTGAAGGTCATATTTGTTCAAGCTGATCCACCCTGCACATTTCCAACTGTTCTTTCCTGTAAAAATCTGATTCAGCATGATATAACGTAGTTGAGATGTATTATGGGATCTCCAACATGCGGAGGTAAGTTCTCATGCTTTAACTTAAGTATGCATAGAACTGTGCAGGACACCCTTAAGCATATGCATCTTTCAAAATTAGGGTCATTACTGTTTTCCTTTCATTTTATGCATGGAAATTATCTGGAAAAAACTCCTTAGCAGATGAGATGAGATCTTATTAGGAAATCAGATGTAATTAACAACGAGACTTAAATTAACACAATATTATGCTCGGTTACAGAACAATCAAACGTGAAATCATGTTTAAAAACGCTATATTTTAATTAGTCATCTTGAAATTTTCCTTTAATAGGATGAATTAAAGAGGCAGCCAATGGGCAACAATTTACCATAACCTTAGGTTTGAGAGTGCTTCTTGACCTATCATCTGGCAATGTAAGCACCAGATGCAGTCGAAATTCGGCTTGTATCAATGTCATTCCTGTATTCAGTTCCAAATATCGCCCTAAAACGAGTTGCACTCGCAGTATATGTCTAACTAAATAAGTTAATCCTGCCAATTTCCCAAAAGGCTTTCGTACAAAAATAAAGTTGGAATAAGCAAGACTTTTAGGCTGACACGAATCCTTCAGATGCAATAGTCTAGAATTCGTTGAATGAACCATGAGATATAGTACCTTCCGCAGTACTTTGTGCAGTCAAAATATTGTGTTTTGTACAAGATTGTCGTTGCTTGCAAATTATTTTCGTAGTTTGGACCCAAAATTTATTGCATCAGTAACAGGAATTTGAAGGTACTGAACAACTCATGTCACAAATAAGAACGTAACAGAGGTGAATAGTTTTGGTAGCGCTTGTGTTCATGCCCACGTAAGGTGGCAGAGACCAGTTCGGATTTCATGACGTGGTATAAACACTGTCAATCTGTGCGTGGATCTAGGGCTCCCACCTCCCTCTCGCGGAGGTGAATCACCCACACACTTTTGTAACTTTATTTTCTGGCGTTTTAAAACAACCGTGCAGTTGGAAGACAGCGGTTCATGTCCACTTAAGCATACCTTCAATGAAGGTAAAATGAACTGACAAATTGAGCGAAATTCATTGACGTAATACTTGTGTGATCTGGGCATGTGGTTTGGTATAACTTGCCAATTTGATTACTGCCTTTTCAGTTACACGTAACGCTGACCTTAAGTCATATCATCGCACCTCTGGTTAGTAACGTGGTGAAATACTAATGGAGCATCCTTCGTGGAAACGGGACCAGGAATCTTTCGTTTTGAAATTATTGGTTCGGCTTACACTAAACGGTTTTGAAAGATTTCTCCAGGAAGTAGTGTTTCGGTGTGCAAGAGCCAAAACATAACACAACCTGGTTAAATAACTGCCACAGTGTACTTTTATCTTGCGGGTTAGAGCCTCAAGGGAATTCAGGCGGTTTGAGTGAAAATTCAGGCCTGTGTGTCTAATTAAACAACCTCACAGGGATTCGGTATTCCACATGGAGTGGGATCAGGACAGCAGTCAGTGGGAAAATTCCAGGTCTCATGAGTAGCCGTTCTGACATGCTGATAGCCGCCCTGCCCTGTCTCACTAAGGAAACAACAATTTTAAATTTTGTCAGCAATGATATGTCTTGAAGTCACATTGATTCGCAAAGGTAACTATGCTTCCATAAACAATGTGCAAGGAAGAAAAAATTTCGACATAAATCATAGCATTGTGATACCTGCAATATGCACCGCCTCCATTTTGTTTCACCGATCTAGTTTAAATACATTAGTCCATATTTTGGACAAATCAGAAAGCCTTTTTCTCAGAAATGAATATTTTCAGTTGAACGGTTGGATATGTTAGAAAAGCTGATGTGCAACCTGGTAGCCACTCCTGACAACATTGCAAAATGGATTTCAGAGATCTCGGACAGGTTTCTACTAAGTTGTCTCAGTGTGGCAATGCCTAGTGCATATGCGCGTCAAAAGTCCATAAAACAATGGTATAAATTCATTTTATTTAGAAGGTAACGAATGCTCAGATTAACAGGAAGAACCCACTGAATATACGACGTGGCGCAGTTTTTGACTAAAGTCCTTTGATGACAACTCAGTCCGGCTGCTGAAGACGAAGATCGGACAGGAACGATCAACGTTCCGCACATTATGGACGCAACTATCCACAGGTTTACACAAATTGCGAAGGTGTGACAAAAATCGCCGCATTTACCAAAGCAGATAAGGATTGACAGCGCAATTCATTTAAAATTTTGTCTACACTTAAGGGGCTATTAAATTTATTAAGTGTTAAATTTTATTAATTTACGTAACATGCAACAATCGGCACCAAAAAAGGAATAAAAAAGCAGCGAAGATTTTAGAGAAACCATGTAGCCAAAAAATTGTTAAAATCTCGCAGTATTCCAGCCTATAAGATCATCTTGCTGACGACGGTATGCAATATAGGCAGCACCTTACAATAACGCCTAAACACAACGATCGAATGGCAAGTGGAGCAAGGTGCCAAAAACGTTGCTTAAATTCACAAATGTTGCAATGTCCCAAAACAGGGAAAGTTCAGTATTTACAAACATTGCCGCACAGAACACTCCATTACATTTGCATCACGATATCCAAGTCGATAACACCATTTTACAGCACGCGATTTCCCCAATTTCTAAGTCTTAGGCAGCCAGCACCATCGGCGCTTAAACACCCCGATCGAATGGCGTTGCAAAACGACAGGCTGAATGATTCCTCGGTTAAGGCTAAAATTATGAAAGAACAGAATCTGCACTAAAATTGGACACTGTGGGCCGATACCAGGTCACACCGGAGTACCACGACAGACGACCGTTCTGGTCTCTGGTCCTGATGCTTCCCACCTGTTCGCCATGAAGCCTCATTAACACGGAGGCAGCAGCAGAGCCATTGGCTTACCCTTAACGGAATAAAGAGGCAGACCAGAGGCTGCTTCTAACTGCGGTGTGTAAGGGAGCATCTGTGTAAGCACCACCGCACGAAACCATCATGTAAACAAAAGCACACCTTTCTCATCACAGCGACAACCCGCGTTGGCATTCAGTTCCCTCTGCAATTGTACTTTCACTGACCCAGCACAAACAGCGCCTTAAGGTCTCATTCGACGTGAGTACTGATGGTCACTCATGTTGGCACAACAGAGTGAATACGTGAGAAGTGTGGACCGCGCAATTTCCAATGCGGCTGATGCCACCATCGGCGTTGTCGCACTTTGAATGCTACTGCGTACCACGATGCTGCATCGGTTTCACTGGGGCAATGATGCGAACACAGTGCTGTTCGCCGCACTATTGGCAGTTTGCTCGATAAATGGCCCAAGTATTTTTGTTCTGGCATCACACGCACCTGTTTGTTTTGGTAGAGTACCCAAGGGAATGAATGTGGGAGTGCTGCGAGTGGTGAGGTGTGTGTTTTAACTAAGAAGGCGTGCGGATCTGTCAGCAAGGATGAAATTGGCAAGGTGAAGGTGAACTCTGGCTGGGACTGCAGCACTGAACTGTGCGTAAAGCGGACGACTGCTCCATCGCTGTGCCTCCTCTACGGTAAGCTGTCGTGTAAACGGGTAATGCGGCTCCACAACGTGGTTGCACTCGGCTCCGTGGTATTGTTTCAGTCTGTCCGCCACAGTGACAGGCAACCTCCGGGAATGTTGTGCAGCCAACCTGGAATGGCCAGTGTGTTCTTTCCAGGCCTCAATCTGTAGCCGTACTACCCGTGTTTGCTTAACTTGGCATGCTTGATCAAATTAGCCCCATTTGCCTCACGATCTGCGAGACGGACGCGGAAGTGTACATCCTTATGTCCCACCAGATACAGAGGGATCATTCTTCAGGTGATGTCTCTAGATTGCCTGGGATTTAACCACGATTTATTAATCGTAGAATTCTCAAAATAATATACTTTTCATCACCTGTCACGATTTTCCAAATGAAATCTTTTGCGTGTCGGTGGGCAGGCGGTAAAAAGCATTTGATCATACTTTGACCTACGTTGACTTTAGTCAACACATTTAGGACCCAACTTACAAGTTTTTGAATTTTTCCCATTTGGTGCAGAGTCTTTGAAATAGCTGTTTGAGTGACTTCTAACTGAGCTGCATGATTTTGCTGCTTTTGCATTCAGTTTTCATCCAATAGAATTTGATTTAGCGCATCTACAAAGTTTTGCAGCTTGTCACCGCCTCCAAATCGCCCATATTAATAATTACACGTTTCACAAAACGCGATGTCTGTACCAAAAACACTGCGAATTGACTCCCGCGCATTGGAAGCATTTTTTTCTTCATGGACTTCGTATAAAAGGTAATGCCGAATGTTCTGTTTATCAGCCGCTATCGTAAACACTGCTGTTGTGAGAGGTTATGTAACATTTCGTTCAGTGTTCCAATACCTTGGGTCCGACCAAAACCACAAAAGACGGTGAAAATATGCATATATTTTTGAATATACAAATTAGGTCATGCAGTTAATATATGATATAAAATTTATTTTTCTACAACGAGCGCTTGTGGATATCAAATATCCCTTTTCAATTAAGCTAACGTTATATTTGAATGACAAAACCACTGCATTACTGTTTAACCAAAACACAAATTACTTTGTAGATTCAACCCAAACAATAAAACAGTTATTCAGTAATCAGCTTCCGGGATGTTTCTTACCGTTTTTAATCATACGAAGTCAGATAGGAAAAGCTACTTTGTAACATGATGCATGTACAGGCGGTTCCTGGTTTTATTTTTATACTTTTAAATAAAATGCAACCCTAAGGCAACCAATAACGTCATGAAGAAAATTTCGAACTAATGTCTAACTCAAAACCAAATTTTGCTTTGGGTTTTCCGACTGAATTTAAAACCATTTTAAATGCAATTCAGCATTCTGTAAACGGTTTTGTGAATTTTACAATTGCGATAAAGTTTTTAGTGCTGTTTACCCTAATTTAGATAATAATCGCATTAGCTTTAATTATCAATGCAAACTTGTGCAAGTGAAAATTGTTCATTTCGGTAAAACAGAGAATACCTACAAATCCTCAGAGTATACAGATTGGTGGTTCAGCTGATGGTGGGAATACTAGGAAAGAAATAGCTACCACAATTCACCATTCTCAATCATAAGAATCGGCCATACCGCAGTGCATCACTTCAGCTTAGGGAGCATCATACTCATGTCAACGCAGTAACATAAATGTCAAATTGTGGATTATAAAATATCTATTTATGCGGATTTGCAAAATGCTTAGAAAGCAGAAAAAAACAAACAGATATCGAAATTAAACTTGTCTGTTCGCAAATTCGTTGTACCGAAAAATAAGGGATGCTCACTGAAAGAAAAAGTGCAAATTCATTTCTTCCATTTGGTAACCAAAAAGTATTCAATTTATTAATTTTTGGTTTGACAACATCACCCCGGTTACCTTTGTAAATATTCGTGATATCAGTGAATCCAAGCATTTAGAAGATACAGTTTTTAATGCGGCATAAATAAAAGGCATTACAGATATTTGATGCCAAAGTTATTCGTGATTATTAGGAGGAACTGGACAATGGGAGTTTCGATTAACTTTCAAACAGAGCTCAAACCATAGAATTGACTTTTTTATTTAAAATTACTTCGTTGTAGGCCTTCATCTAAAATTTAAATAACAGACTCCACTTATAAATCAGAAACATTTAGAGTCGAAATACAATAGGGCAAACAGTTTAATAGACATAGGGTGCAATGTCTATTCAACTGTCTCAGTATTGAGTTACAACCTTTTAGTCCGACTGCACTCGAGGATATGAGGATGGAAACTTCTAGGATAACGATCAGTTCTAAACAATAAAAAATAATAAAAAATATCAAGTATCTTAGGCACATTTCTTACGCCTGCTTACGCGATCCACATTGTGGATGACAATTTGTGAACGCATACTCACGGCTTTTATAACGACATCATGTACATGATAATATATTTGAGGTGTTAAAATCAATCTTCATGTTATTGATGCCTCTGTCTACCATCACTCACTTTTGTTTTTATAAGGAGGACAAGATGTCTTCATTTTCCTTGATCAAATATTAGATGTGATTAGCTAAGTTTTCATTGGTTGAAGGAAAGCTGAACTGCACTTTATGCAAAAAAATTATTTAAAAGTATTGTCTCCGTGTCATAACTTCATTATCTTGACAGAGCATATTTTTCAGCAGGTCACTGCACGCAATCTGATAGTTTATACATCAAATCAGTGGTTAAAAAGACAAAATGATTAAGTAAACATTTTTAACCTCGAAATTAATTCATAATATATGTTTGATGCAAAAATGATTTCTTTGTTAAGGGAGAAACCAAAGCACAACCAAAAACGTTTTTTCGTATATGGTGCTCAATTTGAAATCCATAACTCGAAACCAAGGGCAAATCTTCCGGACCATAAATTCTTTGTCAAGAACAGCAGCGGTAGCAAATGATAGTCACAGCCTAGATTTAGTGTACGAAATGTTCTGCACCCACTGTAATCAAGTCCAGGTTTTAATTTGTAGAGACAACGCCAGACCTGTAAGAAAATGGAACGTGTTAGGTTAAAATAAATTAATGCATGCCTAATTTTCTGTAAACTCAAAGGAATAAGTATTTCCGCATAAGCCATTTTTGGTTCAAACTCAAGTGGCCTAAGAAGTTTCTGCACAATATGACATCAAATAAAATAGTAATGTTGCTGGAAATTAGTTTAAATGAAAATGAAGTACCCACAAGAAACAGCTTTCAAGTAAGTGATTAGAAGTCTAATACTCACCCAGTCGGTTGTTCAAATAGTGCTTCAATAGGTCTCATTTGTTGGTAGTTTAAAAAACAATGCATTTACAGCAAAATGCATTTCAATCTTTCGCTCACTTTGCAACCATGGTTACCAAGGCGCACAGATAATTAGCAGAAAAACAATTAACTTCAACTCAGTTACGCAGTGGACGATACAAAGTAAAAGAGCGTTCAGTTATTTGGTTTCGGACATGCGCAATTAACTCCTTTGAAAATGAGATGGTGATTGAATTTACAACGAAAACAAAATGATAAACACCGAACGACCAATAATTAAATTTTGTCAGGTTTAAGAGTGAATCAGAGTCATAAAATTGTGTGTGAAGAGTCAAAAGTGGTGTACTAAAAATTACCTTGAATTAGTACAAGGTAATTTTTACGCTTGTAAATAGTTTCCGAAAATCAAGTAATATTTAGCAGTTTCTTCCACAATCTGCAATTACTAATGCTAATTACTTTAGAACAACCAATCAGAAAACACTTTCCTCACTTCGGACCAGGCCTGGGGTTCATCCATGTGCCCCAAAGTAAATCCAGTAAGTCTCAGACGCTTTTTTGCAAAATTTTAACATTCTTGACCAACCAAGCCCACTTGATCAGCTGAGCGTAAGCGCCTGATCTCGGTTCCCTTACAAAATCCAATACTTATGAAATGGATCTTAATTTCCTCTTTGGCAGGTGCCTCTCCACCCAAAAGACAACGGTGGTTGTTCTTAGAGAACCTCGAACATCTGGCCTAGTCGATTTAAATGTGGTTCTCCTGTTCTTCATTCCACATTCTCCTTTAACAGCAGACTCCATTTCGGGGGAAGACATTCAGGTGATAATTAAAGAAAGTATTCGACGATCTACTTGCAGGCATCGAGATTTTTCAGTCGCAGTTTGTTAATCCTGCAAAATTATTCTTACATTTCAGTGCTCTCTTCTCTCTGGCCAAATCGAAGGCATTCTAATTCAGTAAGTTTTGTGTTTTAGTACAATGCCAGTACGTTCTAATTGTAGCATGACTTTTCTCTTAATGCGAAACCATGCCAGAACCTATATCGTAAACCCGCTTGTTCACTGTGTACCGCCTCAGTATAGAACTTCTGCTGCACCACTTTAAAGGGTTTGCGAAAGTGTATATAAGAATGAACGTTAAAATTTTGTCATGTTTTGATTTTCAGATTTAATGTACAAAATCATTCTTAGCATTAAGATATGTACTCTGAATTATGCATTGTTTTAACATCCAGTTATGCGTCTAGTACAAAGTAATTCTACATTATCTCTGACAAGAAACTGCATCCAGGCATTTTCAAACAAAGCTTTAACTCCACCAACGAGAGAGCGTTTAATTGTTTTTTAAACAAACCTCGTGAAATCCGCAAGCGCTTGACACCGTGGTGTGTTCAGACGGCTAAATGCTTCTTAAAAAGCTAAGTGAATGAAAACGGAAGAAGGACCGCGAGGAGGAAAGCCATCCATTTAAAAATGCGTAAATTACTTTTAGCGACTCTGAAACTTACAGTTTGTGAGATTGCTTCTTAATGTAGGTATGGGTGGCCTGACTTCCGCAACTTATTCGCATTGCGTTTTCATCTTCCACTGAGATCCCGCCTAATTGCCTCATTTGCTTGATCAGGTCAGAGTCGATCATTTCTAGTATGCCTCTAGTTTGTATTAACGCAACTTTGAGCCTCGGGAACAAACACTGGAGTATTTCTTGCACTGCTTAGATAGACAGCCTAGCAACTTAAGCGGTTGGTTGACAGAGCCATGAACTCGAACGATGGTAAATATGCCTGGAACTAATGTTTTCACATTTTATGCTAGTATTGTAGTAAGACAGTGATCTGGGCATAGGAACAGAGTGAGCCATGAAGCGTAAGCTAACAAGACTGTCAGGTTTACTAAAAA